TCCCTGCGGTTCGGCAGGAGAAGCCAGCCAGCAGCCAGCGACTCGGCCTTGGGGACACCCTTTCCTGGGGAGCCCTGCAGACGAGCGGGTGCCCTGGGGTGCCACCGAGCCCTGGGGGACCTGCTTTGGCTGCTGACCAGGCTCCTATTTTCAAGGGTAATGGCAGCCTTTCAACCCTGCTGCCCGCTCCGTCCGACCACAGGCGCTTGTAGGACTTTAACCCAAATTCCCCCTCGGTTGGGACGTTAAGATTAAACCTCCTTTTGGAGGATAAGGCCGAGGGTTTGCTCCGGGACGTGCCCCATGCCCGTGACCTGCACGCACTGCCCCCGTGCCGAGCACACTTGTCCCAGCATGTGGCTGAACCTGCCTCCCCAAGCCATGGGGTGGCTTCCCTGCCCCCTAATCCAGCCTAATCTAATCAAACCTGCCCTAATTCCCTGTAATCCCTGACCCTGCAGCACGAGCGGCCGCTTGCTGCTTCCCGGGCAGGCAGTGCTGCTGCAGCCCGTGCCCCGATGCTGCGCTTATGGCAAGTGCCGGGTGATCCCCGCTCCACCACAGCAGCATCCGGAATCAACACCCAGCCGGCCAGGGAAGCGACGGATGATTCTGGTTTAGAGCCTGTCACTGACGATACGTGGGAGCCCAACGCACACGGACGCAGCCCCGGGACTCCATCACACCCCGGCTGGTCTCGGGGTGCTCAGCTCCACGGGTGGGTTGGTCCAACGGACACTCGGTCAACCCCCCTCCGCTCCCTTCTGGCACCGTTCCCCCTCCGTCCCTTTTTCCAGCACCTCGCACTCGCCCTGGGCACTTGTTCCTCCCCGCCAGCGTCACACGTGCCCCACGGCCGTCCCTCCCGCGCCCCACAGCCGTCATCCCGCAGCCGTCCCTCCCGTGTCCCTGCAGGGCTGGGAGAGCTGATGGTGCAGATGGGGCCGCGTTACCCAGCAGCGTGAAACCTCCAAGTGATTTTCCGTCTTGTTGCAGGATCACCACCTCAGTGCAGACCCGCAGCCTGGTTAACGACCAGCACTGACTCTTCATTACGCCCGGCAGCAGACGCTCTCCTCGAGCCATCCAGCTCGTCAGGCTGGAAAATGCCACCGCTGGCCAGTCCAAGCTTGGAGGAAGCATTCCCAGTGCCGGTGACAGGGGAGCGGGGTGGCAGGACGTGCCCTGTTCCCCGCCGCAGGGCTGTGGGCGCAGGTGGGTGGCAGGCGTGGGGCTGCCGACAGATGCTCCAGAGCAGGGACAGCTCCAGGCACCCCGGGCCAGGGGGTCAGGGCGGTGCAGGACCCCCCCAGGAGCTGGCATAGCAGATCACCGCTCCCCGCCCCGGGGTGTTAATGCCGGCACGGCACCTCCCGTGCTATTGAGCAGGGTGTTTTTGCAGGCACACAGCCTGCTCGCCGCAGACGCACACGGTGTACTCTGCGTCCGGCACATGAGCAATTACATCCTATTCATTCAGGGCTAATTGACCCCCCCCCCCCCCCCGGCGCGTGGTATCCACTGTCCCCTTGGGGGGGGG